TCCTGGGCAGTGTCTGTCTTGTGCTCCCAGGGTGGGGTGGGCACGGGGGAGTGGGGGGCCCTAGCACTGGGGGTTTCGCACACCTGCCTCTGAGATCTCTGCCTTGTAACGAGGCAGGGGAGCGGAGAATTCACCCCAGAGCCTGGGGGCTGGATGAGCCCTCTGCAGTCATAGAGCCCCAGGGCGGGCAGAGCCCTCAGGAGCCATCAGTGTCTGTCTTGTGCTCCCAGGGTGGGGTGGGCACGGGGGAGTGGGGGGCCCTAGCACTGGGGGTTTCGCACACCTGCCTCTGAGATCTCTGCCTTGTAACGAGGCAGGGGAGCGGAGAATTCACCCCAGAGCCTGGGGGCTGGATGAGCCCTCTGCAGTCATAGAGCCCCAGGGCGGGCAGAGCCCTCAGGAGCCATCGAGTCCAGCCCCCCGAGGCAGGACCAGCCCAAGTCAATCAGCCCAGCCAGGGCTCTGTCCAGCCAGGACTTACACACCTCTAGGGATGGAGATTCCACCCCTCCCCAGGGAACCCAGCCCAGCGCTTCCCCACCCGCCTAGGGAAACAGTTTTTCCTAATCTCCAACCTAGACCTCCCCCCCCCCGCAACGTGAGATCTGAGGAAGTGGGTCTGGCCCACGAAAGCTCATCAGCTAATAAACCATCTTGTCAGTCTTCAAAGTGCTGCATGGCGCTGTCCTCTGTTTCAGACAGACCAGACTAACCCGGCTGCATCTCTGTTCCTGTTGAGCCCATTGCTCCTGGTCCTGCCACCCCTGAGAACAGCCTCTCCCGCCTCTTTGCAGCCCCCTTCAGGGGGGTGCAGGCTGCTCTCAAATCCCCCCTCCCTCTTCTCTCCTGCAGACTACACAAGCCCAGATCAATCGTCCTCGTCCAGCCCCACTCGCTAGCTTCCTGCTGGACGATGTTCTCTCTGCTAGCGCAGCTGCACCTGCCTGTACCTGCACGGCGCTCACTGGGAACTAAGTGCCCCCCCTTTTCCCTGCCCCTCGGGCGTGGGCAGGGCGGGGCAGGCAAGGCTCCAGCAGCCTCTCTCAAGTGATGGAAGCAGACCCAGGGGTGTGCCCCCACCTGCAGGGAGCCCTGGGCACCGTGCGAATGGGAAGCAGAATGGGGACAGTTCGGTGCTCCAGCCCTGTGGCTTCCTGCCCAGCAGTGCAAGGAGCGTGGGCGCCATGCTGGGCTTCCCCACTCTGCCCACCCCCCGCCCCTCGGCTGGGCGGCAAGCCTCCGCCTGCTCCTCCCGCTGCTTCTGCTTGAACTTCATGTTCCCGAAGTGCATGATGGCGCCCACTATCTTATAGCAGCCGTACTTCTCCTCGTTGCTGAAGCCCAGGATGTCCATGGCATGCTGAGGGCGACAAGCAGAGAGCGTCCAGCCAGCTGCTGCCACAGACGCCACCCCCACCTGCAAATGGGGCTCCCGGCGGGGCAGCCGGACTTGCGCTCCCAGGGCCCCCCCAGATGCTGCAGTGCTGCCAGCTGAGCATGGTCACACGCGACCCCCCCGCACAGCATGGCCTGCCCCAAGGGACCGGGGTGCGGAGGCAGGCCCTGAACACCATTAGGGTGGCTTAGAAATCATCAACATGGGGCTGTGTTCATTTGTTTATGGAGCCTTTATTGGGGTCACATTTAGCTGCAAGCACAGGGAGGGAAAGGAAGGAAGGAAAAGTCACATGACTAAGATCTGGGCCTTTAGGAGAAAAACTAAGCACTGATGCTATGTCTACATTACATGCTACTTGCGCAAGAAGCCTTTTGTGCAAGGGTTTTTGTGCAAAAACTTCTTGCACAAGTGCATGTTCACACCTCAAAGACACATGAATGCTCTTGCACAAGAAAGCTCTGATGGCCGTTCACAGAATGGCCATCCGAGCACCTGTGCTTTTTCCCAGAGGGGTTTCTTGCACACGAAACCCCTCTGGAGTGTCCATGTAAAAGGCCTCTGTTCTGCCATGTTACTCTTGATTTCCCTGCTCAAAAGTACATTTGAGGTGTGGACAGTCCACAGGTTTTTGTGCAAAAACCTTGCAGTGTAGACCTAGCCTGAGGCTTTGTCTAGGCTTCGGTTTTGCTGGCAGTGAGTATACAAATGAGGCATGGGTTAACATATTGCCGTGCCTCATTTGCATAATTTATGCATGCCATTTTTGCACAAAGGGTTTTTGCAGGAAAAAAAAGTAATGTGGATGGGGGTTTTTTGTGCATAAAAAAAATCCACACTACTTTTTTCCCACAAATGCAAATGAGGCATGGAAATATTCTAATTTGCACCTCATTTGCATACTCATTGCTGGCAAAACTGGCAGTGTAGACGAAGCCTCTGCCTCATGCCATCACTGTGACTGCTGGCCACACGTACACCTGCAGTAGGGTGGGTCCAAACAGTTCTGTCAAAACTATTTGGAAATCTTTTTTCTCCACAAAAATGTCTGTTCCCAGTTGAAAATGTATTTTCAGGAAAAAAAAATTCTCTCCCCCCCAAAACCCCACTTGTTTTTTTGACCAAAGGTTTTTGGTTTTCACTTATTTTGGCAAGACGGTCCCGTTCCCAGAGAGAGCCACGTTTCCCAGCCCTGGGCCAGGGTGCGCGATGTGGCTGCCACTGCTCGGCGCGTCCAGGCTGGACAGGCCCAGCTGCTTTTCACCAATTAGTGTCTGTCATCTGCGTTGCCTAGCAAGCGGGAGCCCCGGGCGCTGGTCGGGAGAGCTGCGTGCGCCTCAGAGCAGTGTCCAGCCCAGCGGGCCCCAGCCCCTTTTGGCTCCTGGCGTCAGCCACTGAGGGCTGCACCGGGCACCGGGCTGCGTCCCTCCCCATCGTGGCTAATGGCCACTGCTGGGCCTGCCTCCCAGAACTTCTCTGGTTCGTCTTTGAACCCACGTATGCTTTGGCCCTCACTGCAGCCTGGGGCCGTGCGCTCTGCCGGTTACTTGTGCAGGTGGGACCGTTCTTCCTCTGGTTTGTATTAAACCTGCTTCCTAGTCATGTCAGTGAGTGAGCCCTGGCTCTGTAGAGAGAGGCAGAGGAAACAACACGTCTCCCCTCCCTTTGCTCAGGCCAGCCGTGACGGTACGGGCTTCTGTCCTTAGTCATCGCTTTCCTAAGCCGAACCTCCACCGGGGCTAGTCTCTCCGGCTACGTCTAGACTGCAAGCCGCTTTTTCGAAAGAGAGCACCCAGGCAGTCTGGACGCTCTCTTTCGAAAAGCACAGTTTGCATGACACAGCGCCTTTTTTCGAAAGAGCACTTTTGAAAAACGGCATCTTCCTCGTAAAACGAGGTTTTCTGTGGTTGAAAAAACTGCCACGTCCTTTCAATTTACTTTCGAAAGAACGCGGGCGCAGTCTAGACGCAGGGGAAATTTTTTCAAAAAAACCCTGTAGTCTAGACACACCTTCCTTGCAGGGAAGCCATGCCGTAGGCTCGACCGTCCTAGTCGGCTTTCCCTTTCCCCGGCCCCGGCGCCGGGCGGACAAGAACTGGACACACACTGCAGGGGTGGGAGCACCATGCTTGGAAAAGGCATCCTGGTCTTTGCTGCCCGGTGCCTTCCTCCCTGCTAAACCCCTTGGGCTCCTCCCCTGGCAGCAGATCTCTCGCTGCTCCCAGCTACTGCCCTGCCCCGCTGGGCTGGGTGTCTGGGGGCTCTGCCTGATCTGAGTTACCCCTGTGCCGCTGCTAGTCCCAGGCCTGGCACTGCCTCTGTGCTTTTCCCTCGGAGGCGCTCCCCCAGAACTGCCGGGAGTTCTCAGGGCTGCGTGTGCCCCATGGCAGGCCCTTACCCACGCTGCGCCCTGCTCCCCGGGCTGAGAATGCGCCCACCTCCCTGCGGAGGACAGCCGGGGCGTGGACGCCCGCGAGCCTTGTGGGCCCTAGGGGCAGGGGCCAGAGATCGCTGCTAAACGCCAGGGGACTCCGAGGTGTGTGGCCGACGCTGGCCCATGGCGGCTCTGGCCTGGAGTGGGGGGCGGCTCTCCCCAGCCCCTCCCTCGCGGGCAGGGCCCACACGTACGTCTGTGGCCATGAGCTCCTCGCCGTCGTCCAGGTTGTCCACCGTGGTGACGCCTTGTGAGCAGAAGTGGTAGTCGTAGGGGTTGAGCGAGAGCAGCAGCATGTCTGGGAGCCGGAGGGAAGGCGAGGGCGTGAGGTGCGGGCAGCTCCAGCAATGGCCACGGGAGAGGCGGGGCAGGACCGGCGGGGCGAGCGCTCTACGTCTGTGGCCATGAGCTCCTCGCCGTCGTCCAGGTTGTCCACCGTGGTGACGCCTTGTGAGCAGAAGTGGTAGTCGTAGGGGTTGAGCGAGAGCAGCAGCATGTCTGGGAGCCGGAGGGAAGGCGAGGGCGTGAGGTGCGGGCAGCTCCAGCAATGGCCACGGGAGAGGCGGGGCAGGACCGGCGGGGCGAGCGCTCTGCCCAGCGCCAGGACTCCTCAGCTGAGCTCTGGGCTGGGCGCCCCCAGGCCTGGGGCGGGGGGCGGCGGGGG